CCCCCTTTAACACACGCTCCCATTTTCACTAACTATTTGGCCGATTATATATTTAAATATATATTAGTTTTTTAAAAACTGGCAGTCGTTTCTCCCTTAACGGAACAGTTCACCATTAAATACCTTCTTAGGCGCATCCACATCGTACCTGTACTTACGATGCTATCATCCTTATTATACAAGTTTTGAAGAACCAGAATATTTCAATTTGAACGGACTTTTAGATCGGTATGTTAGATGGATTTTCTTAGAGCTAAATATTATTTCAAACACAGTCTGTAAATAGACATAAAAACAGCCTCAGACTTCCGAAGAAAACTTTTTTGAACATAGTACAACTGCAAGACTAAACAGATTTCTTAAAGAAATCTAAACTACACACATGAATGAATGCACCTCTAAACAAATATCCTGAAATCTCAGAGAACTGACTGCTCTCAGAGAACTGACTGCAAGCCGAACTTTGAATAACTATTAGAATTGAGGTGTGTTCAAAGCGACACATTAACAAAATGATTTTAAACACTTCATGGCAAAGATTAATCACTCGCACTTCACAATGTCCAAAATCACACTCTAGACAATACAAAAGAGCCATGCAGTCTAATTATTAATTTTAAAAACCTTCAAAACTGCTTCAAATTCTATTGAGCTTTCAAAGTTGTGTACCTTTTAATTGACGTCACGAAACTACATCCCTGAAGAGGACACAAACAATCCATGTCAACAAGACTGTATTGGCAGATGTATTTTCTCGCTTAGACAGATATTTGATAGGAGGACCAGCAAGAACAAGGGCCGTGTGACAGACACTCGGCGGGTCACACAACGCCAGCACAGTGCCAGGACACTAGCGAAGGGCGAAAGCATAACTTCATGTAGCGGTCCAACGACGTAAGTGGTACTTGACTTATCCCACGGCACTTGATCAGGTGTGTGTGTGTGTCTGTGTGCGTGTGTGTGTGTGTGTGTGTTTGTGTGTGTGTGTGTGTGTGTGTGTGTGTGTGTGTGTCCAAC